TAATTTCGATAAATGTTTATAGAAATCGAATAATATACATGGCTACTTATATTTATGTACCAATAAATGTCGCAGTTCGTGTCTGACTTATACACATCGGCCGATTTATTTATTATTGTATAATATCACAAGTCATAATATGTACCTGCCTACTATATTGATTGTATAGGTATGTATTGTATGTACGATGGCGTTTATGCGCTGCAGGCACGATAAACGTGGAAAAATGATATATATTTTGACGATCGTGTACTCCTCGATCATATTTCGCAGTGTTAATTCTGTTTTTAAGTATATAGTGCATACTTTAAATTATAACGATTCGTGAAATTAACACATCAATGTCGGATTTTGACTCTATTATTAATTCTTGTACGTTGTATAGTGCCGTTATAACTTTTGGCTACCTACCTAATAATAAATAATAATTCATAATTAGGTACCCATCATAATCTAAGTGGCGTATATTGGGGAGTGACCTAACAGGATATTAGTAGGTAATGTATATAATTTTCTTCTATCCACGCATTATTAAAAGTGATGTTTCAAATCCTGATATTTGAGAACAGAACCCGACCAGAACTTTGTTTTAAATTTAAAGAACTATTACCAAACCGAAATTAAAAAAATTAAAAAAATACGTTAATTTATGTAGTTCATATATTTTATTGTTTTCATTTCAATTAAATGACTACATTTTAAAATGTGTATTTACTATAAAGTTACTACAATAAACAATAAATAATTTAGCATTTGGTTCGGTTTGAATTTGAAACTTCCAGTTCATAGCATCACTGTTATAATATGTATAATAATATGTTATAGTATATATTATATTTTATATTCCATTCGATCTTCAAATTTTTGGTTTTTCTATTAAAACTTGGTTAGAAATTACGGGGCCCTTATAAAAAATTTTCAATATTAATAAACTTATTTTAGATTCTGAGTGGAACGATGAATGTATTGATTTTACAATGATGTGTGTTTTTTTTGGTTTTTTTTTGTGACTGTGTGTACGATAAGTAGTAGAAATAATGCTTCAATTTTCAACTTCAGTATCTTATTCTATTTTAAAGTGAATATCGTTGGTGCATTGGGTGGGGGGGGGTCAAAATTTAAAATTCCCCTTTAATTTTCAAAAGCGAAAAGAAAAACAAAAGAAAAATTAAGGAAAAACGGAAATTTTTACGCAAAATCGATTTTTTTTCAAAATTAAATTTGGTTTTTGGTGTAACTTCAAATGACCGTATATACATGAAATTTTCACTGGTTGTTTATATTCATTTTCTATATACAATAACATTTTCAAAATATTTTGATTTATTTTGAACTGTTTAAGCACAGTTTATTTTTATAGTCATTTTAAGTTCAAATTTGGATGAAATTACATAAAAAAAAACCTAGAATAACTATTTTAGTTATTTTTCTGTGGTTGTATAATATTATTTGTGGGTACTTGAAACTACTAAAGTACACTATCATATATCTATGATACTATCAGTTTTTGTTGATGATGTATAACGCATTATAAGTATCTAATGTATATTGTGATATGATTAATTTGGAATTTATTATAGGTACCTATTGTAGGCCAATTCTTTTTAATACCATAGATAAGTATATAATATGTCTTATACCTAGACTGACATACCATCTCCTCTCAGAATCGTTTTTCTTGTACAATAATATTATATCATTGAATTCAAATTTTATACCATTCATTATACAGTAACCCACTTGTAACCTACTGTACAGCAGAGCACCTTTTTGTTAATTATTGTGTATTTTTTATTTTTATTCAATTGGTTTTATTTAATTTTAAATATTATATTAACAGTAGGACATTTTGAATATAATTATTTTTTTTAATAGAAGCTCATATTTAAATTTCTTATTCTGAAGCAAACTATTTTTTTCTAAAAATATTAATACACAAATATTGAACATTAAGGCCGGGTTCCATAAAGAACACTCTTTACATTTGTTAGCGGCTCTGTAATTTACCGGCTCTGTAAGGTTTTAATGATTGTGTAAACTATGCTAGTGTTGCATAAAAAAATATTAAATTATTGATAACCGTGGTTACCAAATAAATTAAACCATAAAAAACCATATGTTTTTCTTATCATTATAATAATTTTACCGATCTGTAAGACGAGCGGATCAAAACCACCCTGATCCATGCACATTTTTATCAATTCTCCATTATCACTATTACAAAACATTTTTCGGATGATGCTCTTATCATTTCATCTTATCATTTTACTATATTTTATGGATTATGTACAAAAATAATTATTATTGTTGAGTTATACCGTTTAGTACTGTTTTATATAATTAATAACTTTTTTTGTGCAATATGGATAAAAAAACAAAACAAAAGTTTGAAAACTGTTGCCATATATATAACAAAAATTTTGCTGGACCACAACACTACGCAGACATATCTACGATAAACATAAAACACCTGGAACTTGTTCAGAGTAAGTTATTAACGAAAAACTAGGGAACCATCTCAAACATTGAGTAGAATACATAGGTACTGGTGGTGGTATTTCGTAAATATGAATTAAGTACAACTAACTAAAAATGTGTTTCTATTAGTGATGAACAAGTTCCTTGTTTAGTTGTAGGTGGATACAAGTTACACTAACATTTTGGGTCTAATTAATTCTAATGACAAAAAGGTGCTCTGTTGTACAGTAGTTTACAAGTGGATCACTGTATAATAGATGGTATTAAATTTGAATTCAATGATATAATAGCATTGTATAAGAAAAACGATTCTGAGCGGAGACGGTATGTCAGTCTAGGTTATTACTATTCTTATCTATTTATTTAGTAAAGTTAATTTTTGAGTTACAACTAAATAAAAAAATCGCTACATGAGAAAACAAGAAAAAATTGTGTCTGGATTTTTAATATTTTTATTATTTTTAAGTCATTGTAACAATATATAAGGATCCTTGTATTAAATTTTTACACTTTTGGCCCAACAGATAAAACTTTATTGATATTTATAGAAAACAAAACTAAAAAATTTGAAAACTGAAAATGTCCGTAAACAGCTCAAAAAGACTCAAATTATTTTCAAAATTGTATGGTGTATAGGAAATACTAATTTAAACATTCAGTGAAATGTTCATGTATCTACAATTATTCGTTTTTGAATTACAACAAAATAAGGAAATATCGCTAAGTACATGAAAAATCGAGTGAATATCCAATGTTGTAAACATTTGAATTTCAAACGCTCATAAAAATTTAATTTGACTTTCTTATAGACATGTTTTTTTTGATAAAGGTAGATAATCTTATAAGGAATCTTGTATAACATTTTAAAACCTTAGATTTAAAAAGAAATATTTTTACGAATTCTTAACTCAAAATAATTTGCTAATTTTTGTGATTTTTCCATATTTTGTCAATTTTTGAACTTTAAATGCTTACAAAAAAAACTGTGACTAAGGATTTTTAATATTTTTCATCTGCCTTTGAAAAATATACTAGGAGCATTCTATTAAATTTTCAAGCTTTTTTACCAACAAATACAATTTTATTGATACTTTTAGAAAAAAAACTAAAAAAAAAATGGAAAATGAAAATGTTTCTAAACAGTTCAAAACAAATCATAATATTTTTTAAATGTTATCGTGTATAGAAAATTCAAATATAACAACCAGTGGTTTAAATGTCATAATATTTTAATGTTTTATTTTTTAATTTGTACTTTTCTATTACATAATTAGTACTTACAATAAGTTGTAACTTGATGTATTAAAAAAAATAAAAAACAACCAGTGAAAATTTCATGTATATTCATTTGTTTTAGAGTTAGGTACACCAAAAACCAAAAACGATTTTGTGGAAAACCGATTTTGCGTAAAAATTCCCGTTTTTCCTTAATTTGTATGTGGTTTTACCGGCGCTTGTGAAAACTATTTGGAATTTTAAAATTTGACCTCCCGAATGCACCAACTAGATTTACTTTCCCATCGAATAAGATACTGTTGAAGAAAATCGAAGCAGTTTTACTGCCCCAAACCGTGATGACAGACACAAAAATAAAAAAAAAACACCCATCATTGTAAAATCAATATTCATCGTTTCACTCAGAATCTAAAAATACAAGATTTATATAGGGACTTTGATATTTACTGGATTATTTATGCTTATTTCTTCAAGAAAATACTGATATCTACTACTAAATATTTGTTTATATGAGGGGTTCACGAAAAAAGTGTACAATGTAAATACACATTTAAACTACTACTTTTGTTTGAAAGTCTATGTCCCGAAAAATATGTATTAATTATTCAAATGCCTAGATAAATAATACTTTTTCTAATTAATTTTAATACATTTACCTAAGATTTTAGTTTATAAGTAAATAACATTTCGATATTAAATAATAAATCAAATGATCAGATTAATAGTATAATTCTCTTTTTATGAAAGATAATATTATATTTTAGATATTAAATGTTATCTGTTAGTTATAGTGATAACGGAGAATTGATAATAATGTGCATGGATCAGGGTGGTTTTTATCCGCTCGTTCTGTAAGTAGTTACAGATGCAAAATCCTATCTGTAGTTTACAGGTGTGGTAGCCGATAATTTACGGAGTCGGTAACTTTACCGAGCGTTCAAGCAACACCTAATAAAATTTACAGAGTCGTTAACTCACTTACAGAAAGTTTATGCATCCCGGCCTAAGCATTAAAAAAATGTATCTATTGAATAAAGTAATGTTATAATATGTTGGTTATAGATATTAATAACTATTTCTAGGAATAAATAGTAATTCGTCATATTTAATAATAGGCATTTACGCATTTTACAAAATTGTCATTTAAATATGTGTCAACGATTATATGATACTATTATTAATAATATAATAAATCATAATTATAATTTTTAAATGTATTTTAAGAATTTTTAAAAATGTAAAATATAATATAAAAAATATGAAATAAAATAAAAATGTTTGTTTAGTAATCAATCATGCCATTTCTCCTCCTGTTGCACGAAAAACGTTTAAATCGTTGAAAATATCGCAGGAGTTGAACAAACCGTCTGAACATTTTAGAAATCATTTATCGGGCAAAGGAAAAATGGTATGTGGTTAACGGTATCCATTTAAATAGTTTGACTTTAAATTGTTGATTATTTTCTTAGATGAGAACATCATCAACGACTTGCAAGCATATGACATTAAAAAGGAAATTTTCCAATCGATTTGGTAAAAATAATGCACAATGTAATCTTTGCGTCAATGCACAGAATAACTCTAAAAACACCTATAGAATGAAATTAAGAGCAAACAATAGCATCAAGTAAGTCATTAAAGTTGTTGGTATGCATAAAGTGTATTTTATATTCTGAGCGAAGTGACAATGCGTTGATTTTATAATGATATGTTTTTTGTATTTTGTATTTTTCTCTATCATTGCCTTTTGGAGTAGTACTCCCAGTACTTTTTATGAGCGTTTGAAGCTCACATTTTTACAACATTGTTTATTTACCCCATAAATTTACGATTTCTCATCGGAGAACATAAATTTTAGTGAAATTGTTGTTATTAAAAAATATAAGTGTACACTGTACCTATAATAGAAATATATTATTATATTTTATACACACAATGACATTTTCAAATGCAATGTTTTCGGAAAAAATTATATCAGCCCACTGTATTATTAATAGTCAATTGAATTACTTAATTGCAATAATATCATAAAATATACTTCGTAATCTAGGCTGACAGACCACCTTTGCTCATAATCGTTTTTCGTATACAATGATTTTATATAATTGATTTCAAATTTAACACATCCATTACATCTAATGTCAAAGAGAGCGGTACCCACTTTGCCCACCATTTTAAAATCATAATTGTTAATAGTCTGCCCTTCTTTTATAAATAGAAATATTTGGCTGTGTGTGGCCTGTGATTTGAAATTCTCAAAACGCGAAACTATTTTAATACACATCAAATTGCACGAAGACGAGTTTGATGTCGAACAAGTCACGTTAACGGATACCACTTGTCCGGAATGTAATTCTGTAAGTATGAGATTTTTTTGATTTTGTTAGATATATTTCTATATGTATATACTATATAGTATATATGTATACTTCAAGATTTGGTGGTATATAGTACATACCGAGAATTTTGATTTAGTACCCAGTCGTCTTTAACCTCGTTTTAGGCATGCAAGGGTCCATAAATAATTGGAACAAAAAAATTCATGGTTAAAAACATCTATTTTTTTTAGCACTAGGTAGTTGTTAATGCTCGTCTAGTACATTTATCATTAGATTTTTTCAGTAATTTTTTTATAATGTTATTGTTATTTTTTTGCCTAGGAATTTCATCAAACCGAAGAACTAATTAAACACGTTTACGTGCACAGTTTCACGGATAACCGAATGGGCTTAGGTGGCACCTTTTACAACTGTTATCAGTGTGAGAGGAGATACAGGAATGCCATTCATCTAAGGGTTAGTTTTTGTATAAATTATATTTAAATAATAATGATCGTTCGAGTGTTTCGCCGGACACGTTTATAATACAACAAGAAAAAAAATATAGTTTGAAAAATATCGAGTTATAAAGTTATCTGCTTCGTATTACAAATTTAAAAATTTAATTATGTATGTTTTTTTAACGATATAAGTAAGTACCTAATCCTATGCTTTATTACACATAAACAGTTAGCTTCAATCCTTGGTCAATATACTATGAAAATGATTTGTTTCAAGAAACTTGTTTGTACATTTAAATATTTATTGCAATATTTGTTTACAATTTAATTTGTCTCTTTTTGTTTATTATTATTTTACATTTACGTTTTCTCTGTTTAGTCTCATCAAGCAAAACACAAGGAAAATGAACTCAAGCCGTACAAATGTAACATGTGCGATAAGCGTTTTTTGAACACTGTCGTCTTAACGTGTCACGTGCGCACCCACTTTGGTTGGTACAATATATAAACATATTATAATAGATTGCTTTTTCTTTATTATTTGTATTTGGACTTTTCATATTAAATTATTAGTTTTTACTATTTTTTCATTGATACAATACACGTTGATCGCCACACTAGTACATGACCTCTTACGATCCAATTTCAATATGGTTATATTACACCACACACATTTTAGTGCATTGTTATCTATTCTACTGTATACAATAGTTATTATTGTGGCCTGGTGTGGCACAGTGTTCGGCTTTATTGGCATAAACGTGTTTTGAGTGCTAGTATTTGCCGGTGTCACTGTAGTTCTCGGATGGTTGACCACCCGTGTTTTAATGACAAATCCTTGTCATACATACACGCCTGTACAAACCAACCTTACCCTCCACCACAGAAACATGCTAATGTCCTCAAAGTTATCGAAGAAAAAAAATATACTTATTATTCTATATTTTTTTCCTTTAAAATACTATCTTACCTGTGATTTTGGTCTTAATGCGAAAAAAAAATTACATACTAGGATAATGATATATTTTCTAAATCTCCATGTCTTTATAAAATTATAATACTTTATTATTCAGGAAACTCGAGTTGTCTCTCAGAGTGAAATAATATGATTTAGGTTCTGGCAGCCCTTGTAATTAGAATGTCTTTATATAGAACTAAATACGTAAAATTATGCGAGATATCGCGGATCAGTCGTTTGGCAATCAACGTATAACACAATAATATTAGTTTATCGATTTAACTGTTACTCTATATATTATTTATTGTTAGGTATTTTAACTGCGAGAGTACGTTTCAAAATATATTTTTATTATAGATTTTCGTTTTACTCGTCGACTTCTTAACACAAGACTGCACGCTTAAACTGTTTTTACAGCATGCCATAATATTTTTCAGTATATGTTATCGTCAGTTTGACGTTATTGTTTTCATAAAAATATGAAACTAACTGTGTAATAATATTTTATATTCATTTCAGAGGGTGTAATTTACGACTGTCCCATGTGTCGTTTGACGTTTGTCGATTTGAAATCATTAAAGGGACACGTACATTCCCACGCGGTGAACAACATCTTCTATTGCCCGATGTGCCCACTCGTACGATTATAATAATATTACGTACATTATATTGCCCCCTTCCTCCCCTATTGAACTTATTATTTTTTTTGTAATTTGCACTATACCCACCCTTATTTACGATTTATTTATTAAATAGCACAAGGAGGGCTGGTGTAGGTAACGTTATCCCAGACACTCCACAGGTGAAATAATAACTTTTACAATTGTATGCTATTTTTATGATGTTCCAAGGTATTGGTTATGAAGCATTATATCGAACTGCCTCATCAACAACTCATAGTTCTTACTTGGGGATGCTCTGGATATAACTAAATCAAGTTCAGCTTTTTAGTTCCTAATATATTATCCAAAACTATTTTGGGTACATTTGTAAATATAATCCATTAAAGGCGCCCTTTAGTTGTTTCTTTCAGTTTTTACGGTCGAATAACTTGGAAATAACTTAATGATTAAATATAAATAAAATAGTTTAAATCAAAATCATACCTGCCTATCTGTTATAAAATTACCTATTATTGTATAATAAAGTGGGAGTATTTGTCTGCACTTTACGACAGACAAAATAGGTACAATAGGTACCTAGTAATAATAATAAAAGTTGAATTATATGTTATACTTTAAATATATTATATTGCTCCTGCAATGCTAGTTTAGAATAAATCAAACGTAAGGATTGTCCACTAGTTAGAAATGCGAGTTGTCGATGAGACAATTCTATATAACACTACAACAAATACCGGCATAGTGTAAAAAAATAATAACTGTTATATTTGCACTGGTACTAATTTAATAAATAACTCGTAATTTTCAAATATAATCGTAAAAACTCACATGCTTATTAATAGCATGGTTTTTTTTTGAAATTTCGATGGGAGGCAGTGTAATGCACTTGATTAGATTATTATGCTTATTACTATCATCAGTTGGATTGATGGACACGATTACAAATTTGTTATTGTTTTTGTCACGCAGCAATTCAATACTTATAAGTTGATCAGAAAGCACATCCGAGCCCGGCATCATGGCATTGAGTTTGATTGCGAGTATTGCAATAACTCGTTTAGTAGTCGTTTCAATCTCAATGTACACATGCTCAGGTATTTATTGCGGACATTTCTGTGTGAGAAATCTATTGAGTACTATACGAGCAAATATAAATTATTTAGTGTTCAATCGTTGGTATACATGATATAAAATATACATTTGATATTTACTTAATTCGCAGTCATTCGGACCAAAGAGATTTTTTGTGCACCATGTGTGGTAAACAGTACAAGAGGAAAGACAAACTGAAGATACATATGAATAAAGTTCATTATTCCATAAAAAAGCCATCTAAAACTCAGTTAAAATTAGAAGCTAGAGCGGAAAAAAAAGCACAACAAATTCAATTGGTAATATATATTGTTATTTATTAGTAAACGATAATATTTCATTTCTATACATACCTATCCCATGCAACGTTCGAAACATTGTTCATATTACATATCTGAAATATATTGTATTTTATTCAATTTATAATTTAGTCGATAAAACTATGCGCAGAAAAATTTATTGTTTCATTTTTAACGACGAATTGCATAGCTGTAGTATTAGTAATAACTGCAAATTTATGATATTTCAAATATTTCAAATTGTATACATTTCGATACGCTTTATGTACATATTGAATTTTAGAAAACAACGAAAATAATGTTGGAGTACGAAAGTTCTGAGTTCAAGTGTGATAAATGTTTGGTGGGTTTCAAAAGAAGAGGCGTTTACGTCAATCATTTGGCACTGAGACATCCCGAAATAAGTCTTGACTCTGTGCCGTCGCTCAACCAACCCGTCATGCCCAAAGCCAAAATGTACATGTGTTTGTACTGTGATAAAGTAATCATATGACACAACATAATCTCGATATCATTTTCGTGGTTGGGACATTAATTAATTGTTATTAAAATATATTAAATTTGCTTCAGATTTACAAGACTAACGCTAAGCGGAAATCGCACATACTTAAAAACCATCCGGATTGCGAACTACCCGAAAAACCGACTGATAAAGTAAGAAGTAAAAAAATTATACAGAATTATTATTACTAAAACTTTTAATTTAGAGATTAAGAATATAATATTTATTTATTGATAAATTAATTAATGTTGTGTTCAGACGGTTACCATAGATGACAACCAGCCCGGTCAAATGGATAGTGTTGCTACTGTGTCGTCTCAGGCGCACAGTTGCCAGTGGTGTTACAAACAATACGTGCTAAAACATAAACTCATAAGACACCAACGGGCACATCACTACCACTTGTTGCCTCCGTCCCTTCAAGAACCAAAACCATCGAAAAAGCTCGGACATAAAGTAAAAAAAATAGTACAACCCCCTCAAACGGTTAATATTCAATTTACCGGTAAGTGTATTTTAAATTTTGCATAATATGTAGGTACTATATTTTACATTTATATAATAGTAGGATTTAACAGTGTAAACAGTTATAGTTTTACCCAATATTTGTTGTACCTTTTACATGTTTTAGGTCAAACAGTTAACAATTGGTAGTAAAAAATACATACATTATAATATCATCATCATCATAACTGGCTTTTATAACTCTATTAGAGTTTTTGCCGCCAACACTATGTCCCTCCATTTCTCTCGATCTTGTATAATTTCCTTCCATTCTCTTACTCCCACAGATTTAAGATCCTCTTCTATTATGTCAAGCCATCTCTTCCTTGGTCTGCCTCGGGGTTTCTTCCCTTCTGGTTGCCATTCTATCACTGCCCTTATGGTTTCTTCTTCGCTTCTCCTTATTATGTGCCCAAACCACTGTAATCTTAGTCCCTTTATGTAGCTAGTGACTGGTGCTAGGCCCATACATTATAATATAATAATATTATTTAATAGTATTATTATATCTTCATATTTAATAATTAAACGATATACGAACTTCGAAGGGTCTGTACTAGCAATAGTAATCGTCTAGTAGGTTCGTTTATCATTTTATTTCCCTTATAAGATTATACATTATTTTGTATCAGCTTATTTTCAACTGCATTTCGTATTGAAAATAATAACAAACGAAATGGAAAATGACATCACATTCATACTCATGTATGATTTTTTTATAGCCATTTTAAGTTCAAATTTTTATTAAATTCAATATTTAAACGAAAAATAATGATTTTAGTTATTTTGCTATAATTCAAAAATATTTTTCGTGGGTGATTGAAACTTTTACGTATAATTTTATAACATTTAGATTAATTTCATGCTATAATTACTATTATATGACATTTCTAATTTATGCCAAATTCATAATAGTAAAATTAATGACTATAATAGCTAATACATATGTTGTCAGTGTTGTCACATCCATTAGTGTAACCTATCGATGACGAGTTTCACTAGACTCCTACAACTATAAATCAGAGCGGTTACCTACTTCCCTTTTTTTGTCTTATACCCGTTCAAAATTTCATAAAAACTAAAATAGTGTGCGTTTGTCAATACTCGTCCTTGAATACTCAACAGTCACTACTGAAATGCGTAGTTTCACTGTAATATTGTATTATTCAACTATTTAATAATTATATTGTTTAATGTTATATGTAAATGTATGTCGAATACTTAACATAACTTTACTATACTCTAAAACATTTGTCGATGGACGATAATACTATAATAGTGTTTACAACGTCAATATCTATGGCGTACTGATAATATTTTTAGCAGACATTAGACTAAAATCTGTATAGGTACCTATAATACTTCATACTTACGTTTAACACACATTTTCGCTGACCTTATGCGTGTTATCTCAGTGTTCAGAAATTAAATTATTATTTAACTGAATTAATTACTGGGTATTTTGGTACCGCAAGAAATGAAATATGTGCAGCACCCATATCACGTACACATGTGGTATGCACTAACTAAATTATTTGCGTCCGGTATAAAAAGTCGTTATAATTAAACATTATACTTAATTATTTTCCTACAAAAAAAAAAAATGGTTTTTCGTGAGTTATAAATTTGAAGGCTATACCAGGCATTAGTAAAAAAAATATGAAAACTTTTTGTATACTTACCTAGTTTTTAATAGTTTGTTGAATCTAAATTATTCAAAATTATATTCAGACTACGATAATACTAACTTAAATAATCTACGAACTAAGTCGAAAAAACATGATGACACGTATAAGATGTATTTACTGAAAAATTGTATTATTTTATTTGGAATAAATTATGAATATTTTATGAATTGTCCAAAAATTAATGATATAGAATAAATGTATCAAACTCCTAAAGTATTTTGCGAAAAAATAACAAGACAGACTTGTCCGTATTGTCCAGTGTGCTTGTAAATTTGTCAATGCATTAATGAAATCTCATTGACTGCAATCTATGTGTATTAATCGCATTGGCGTTGCAATATTATTAATTATTGTCAATTGTATACCCGAGCTTAAGTGATATGACAAATAACGGTAGTGAGACGAGGGGGGCGGGTGCTTTTCAAATTCAAATTAATCGAGAGCGCAAAAAATAATCGTCGTCAAGTATGCTCGAACATATACACGTAAAGCAGTGCTCCGGCACAAATAGACAGTGAATAGTAGTTTTTGAATTTGCACTTAATCCGGATCGAAAACACATGAACCCTTGTGCGCCGGTCAATGTGTTATTTTATTATTAATTATTATCATTATCGTTATTTGCATTTACATATGTGTGTTTTAGATACAGACGGTTTCGAATTAACGGCCACCGACATACAGCTGGACAATCCAATCGAACCAGGCAGCATAATAGCCATCAAACGGCCCATAAAAGTAAGCCTGGTGAATACTGTTTTATATACCGCGTGCGCAATCGATTGAGCCGATGCGGATTACAACGGGTGTAATGATATGCAATAATATAAACGTGCGTGTATATTGTACATAGTGTGCAGGACCCCAGGCGGATTAATGGTTATATTATATTTCATACGGAGCGTTAGTATGCGCGCCTCCAAAAGCGCTGTCCCTTCATAACGACTGACTGGCTGTTGGTGGTGTTTGTGATGAATTTGGGGATTAAGTGCCCCAGTTTATAATTTTTTTCGTTACGTTCCGGCGTTTGCACTATCACCATTGGGTCCGATTCTCCATTAAATTGTAAAACGCGTTGTTTCTTTGCATTTCAATAATTATTACAAAAAAAAAACCCACGATAACACGGCGTTTTGGATAGGCTATCTAGCTACACTGTTGGCCATGTTTCGGTCTCTCATTGAGAAAACGTTAAACAGCCATTTGTTGCCTTCGTCTTACAACTTACAAGTGAGTAACATAGACAATTTACTCTCAGCTAGGCTCCGTTAGCTTAAAAATTAGAGCGAATCAACCTATTATGAAACTTGATGGTAAGTACATTATCAGTGCTTATATGTGGGTTTTTTACGATATTTAAATTTTTTTAGTGAGTTTTCGTATATAATTTAGCTTAAATTAAAAATGCACATACCTCATTTAAAAACTAAACTATCTTAAAAAAAACAGATAATGTTCTTACCATCATCAAGTTTCATAATAGGTCGATTCACTCTAATTTTTAAACTAACTGAGTTAAACGTGATCTGCTGAGCGTAAACTTGTTATTTTATGCACTTGTAACACGGAGACAACAAACATCTGTGTAGCGTTATCTTAACGGTATTATAATATTTTTTAATAAATTTCAATATTATGGTACAATATAGTAATAATATTACGACCACAATGTCGCGTATATTTTTAAAACTTGTTTTCATTGTTTCACCCAAACTTAGAACAATTCCGAGTACATGACTCAGGCCATGCGAGACTTGGGCTTGAGCGCGGCCGACGACGGTCTAAACGAGGAGCAGTACTACCGGATATTGGACACGCAGGGCGACGTGGCTTACGCGCAGGCCATCGATCCGCCGGTCACCTTACTCACGTTCGACGGCCAGACCATTCAACAGGTGCTGTCTTCTTGCGTGCCCGATGAGTTACCGGTTGTTGACGGCCGCGCGACAATGACGACGACGGCGACCGGAGGCAACTGTACGACGACGACTGATGGTCTTCAGTAGAAACACCACCTCGAGTACGTGACCATCGTCTTCCCGGTCCGTCAGCCGCACAAGACCGCGTGTTGCTTGCCCGCTCTGTGTTCGCAAGTCAGGACGTGCCAACTCGAGTGACCTACTCCGGTCATGTCGAGACAAAAATTCCCGAGCATCGATCGTCTGTGTTTCCAGCCCAGTCGTGTATCGTTTTAGTAATTATTATTCCTCTCCTCTTCTCGCGGATCTGATACGGGGACACACGACTCTGGCCTCTGCTGTTGTTTGCGAAAACTTCCGAGTCGTGTCTTGTTGCCTACCGACGCATAAATAAGTGTCACAGACTTTTGGCCGGTTCGCAGGTCGAATATGAATTAGGGTATAAACTTTAAAAATAAGTATTACCAGAGTTTCGAACTAAATGCGACGCACACGCGTACATATTATATACCTAATTTATGTATGTGTTTGCCGGTATCGGTATAATGACGCGATAGCACGTTTCTCTTCCTTTTGGGCTTTTTGTCCTACACACAACATTTTGATTTTCTTTTGGCAGTTCTCGCTAAAGTGTGTTGCGCTACGAATATAATCGCTGTAACGTTTACTGGCCAACCTAATGTATCGTCTGCTAGTGTGTTCCCGATCGTAATAATATAATAATTATAGTATACGACATGTGCATAGTCATATTATGATTATTTGTTCCAAATCACAAGTTCCTTGTTTAAAATAATTTTGTGATATTATTGTTTTTATTTTCTATGCTTGCATGGTTTCTTCTGTATTGCTGTACAATATTTTATTTTGAAAACAAGTCTTAAGTTATTGTTGTTTTGAAGTTTATCGTTGAATAAACAGAGTGTATCATAATAGTTTCACAATTTTACATTAAAATTGCATGTAAATAGTATGACACATTTTCAACGATCTTCTCTTCTGCGCTATATATGTAATCTATAAATCGATAGGTAAATAAATAATTAATATTATATATTATATCGATATACAACACCTTTATGAAAATTAATAATATTCGATACACTTTTTACCTTATATATTTGTCTAAAAACTTACCTTCCCTATACTGACTATCTATTTGTTGTTTTTTATAATATAACTATAAACTATTATGGAATTGAGATTATAATTAGTAAATTGATGAAGTAGATTTATTTTTAATTATATGTTATAGTTAGATAATGTGCATCAGTTTAATTGTTATGTATTGCCTAGATAAAATGTCATGTTAATTTGTATCAATATATAAATACATGCAGGAAAAAAAACAAAACAACGAAATTGCCTCAGGGTATACTAATTAAGTTTATAATTCATTAAGTTGGACATCTAACACGGCTTTTTGGTTGTGTTATAGTAACTTCACCATATTTATTTTAATGTCTGGAATTTGGTAAAATAAAACGAAATTACGTTATTTTATTATATTGGTAATGTATTGAAGGTAATTAATTATTAATTTGGTACATATTACAATAATTTAAGTCGCTTTTATGCAAAATAATTATCGTTTTTTTTATGTTATGTACATAAACTGTGTGCAATGTTAATTAAATTGGGAAATATACCAATTTCATAACGAAATATTTGTGTTTCTTAGAATGCATTACCTATCATAAATATTTTTGTACTTAATTACATGAATTTATTTTTTTTGAATTCCTCATCCTCTAATTTGTATAAAATAAAAATTATAATGACATAAAAAATTTTTTTTTTAGGATTTATTGTGGAGAATATGTTTTATATCACGAATATACAGTATCTTATATGTGTACTTGTATCTAAGATAGGTTAGTTAGGTACCTCAGATACGTTTGTATCTTGTACATTTTGACATTTGTTCATTTCATCTCGTATATTGTACCTACCTATCTAGATACATGTTTAATTGGTCGGATACTTGGATGGTGTATCTTAGATCGTTTTTATTTGTTATGTGTTATATATTAGAGAAAAATTAAGAAACATATTTTTCGGAAAAAAACAAAAGAAATGTAACCATTTAATTAAGTTTCGACATCATTTTATTTCCAAAGCTGATGGTCGGAATCACAAAATAAATCATAAAACAAGTTTAAAACGGTGTGTATTGTACAAATAATTTTTGAGTTTGTAATAAAAACAAAAACCATATTATTATTAAAACGCAAATAATGTTATATCTAGTAACTAAAGGAAAACAAATCAAAGTATCTAGTATCTTTTTGAAAATTGATCTTGTATTCTTGTCTCTAGTGTTAAAAATCGATTTACTCTTTTTTCAAGCATCTTGTCACCATCCTTGTTATATATTAAAATAAAATAATATTTTATAATACCTACTTTTATGTTGAGGAAGTAATGATCAGATCACGCTGTGTCACCGAAATACCTACCTATAATGTATTATTATTATTCATTGGAATACACTTTAGTATTCAGTTCCATATAATAATTAACTTATAACAAACGAATAGGATTATTGCATTACTTATTATTATATTAGTTAGATAATTTTAGTAATTATTGATAGTTTTAGTTTTACTGCCATATATTGTATTATTTAACTATATTATATTATATTATACAAACAAATAAAAAGTAGCTTGGTGTGATGAGGTGGTTGGTTGCATTCAGTCAGTCACGATCGATTCGTGATTTGAGTACAAGCACCGGCCGGTGTCACTAGAGATGATGGGTGACCACCCGGATTTGTAATGATAAATCCGGGCTTAAGATCAATAAAAAAAAGGTGGGTAAGTGGATGTCGCTCTGCTGTACAGTAGGTTACAAGTGGGTCACTGTATAATGGATGCTTTTAAATTTGAATTCAATGATACAATATCATTGTATAAGAAAAACGATTCTGAGCGAAGATGATGGTATGTCAGTCTAGGTTTAAGACAAATTATATACATATCTATGGTATTAAAAAAAAATTGACCTATAATAAATTCCAAATTAATCATATCACATTATCACAATATCCATTAGGTACATAGAACACGTTATACATCAACATCAATAACAAATCCTGATACTATCATAGATATATAATAGTACACTTTAGAAGTTTCAAGTAGGTACCCACGAATAATATTATATAATCACATCAAAATAACTAGGTTTTTTAATATGTAATTTCGTCCAAATTTGAACATAAAATGACTATAAAAATAAACTGTGATTGTATATTTTTTAGATTTTTCGGTAAGAGAATTAACTACTTACGTAGAATCATGTTTTAAATTTTCAATCCTTAGCTATAAAAACTGAACATTTTATAATTTATTAATTACGATGATTAATAAATTTCGAGATTTTGAAAAATTCTGTCAAAATTCGATGTTTAAATGCTTATAAAAAAAAATTGTGCCTATGTATTTTTAATATTTTTCAACTGATATTGTAACAATATATCAGGAGCCTTGTATTAAATTTTTACACTTTTTGGCCCAACAGATAAAACTTTATTGATATTCATAGAAAAAAAAACTAAAAAAATTGAAAAATGAAAATGTCCGTAAACAGCTCAAAAAGACTCAAAATATTTTCAAAATTGTATGGTGTATAGGAAATACTAATTTAAACATTCAGTGAAATGTTCATGTATCTACAATTATTCGTTTTTGAATTAAAATATCGTTTTCAAAATAAATCAAAATATTTTGAAAATGTTATCGTGTATAGAAGATGCAAATATAAACAATCAGTGAAAAATTCATGTATCTACGGTCATTTGTTTTGAAGTTACACCAAAAACCAAATTCAATTTTCTGAAAAATCGATTTTGCGTAAAAATTCACGTTTTTCCTTAATTTTTCTTTTGTTTTTCTTGGCGCTTTTGAAAAGTACTGGGAATTTTAAATTTTGACCTCCCCAATGCACCAAGGATATTCACTTTCCAATCAAACAAGATACTGAAGTCGAAAATCGAAGCATTATTTCGACTACTTATCGTGTACACAGACACAAAAAAAAAAAAAAAAACACACATCATTGTAAAATCAATACATTCATCGTTTCATTCAGAATCTAAAAAAACAAAACAAAGAAATAATATGTATTTATTTATATTGATAGTTTCATTACATGAGAAATGTGTATTGCAAATTGTAATTATTTAATTTATATTACCAAACTATTTACTGAATTTATATTTAAAATTGTGAACTCATGGGCCCCCATCTGAACATATTCAGTATTATATATCTTCTCAAAGATAATAAATAAATATATTACACATATTATATAAATCTTACCTGACTAGAAAGCCATATAAAAATCCGTTACTCGTAATGCTAGGCTTTATTATGCAGAGCTCGGTAGCCTAAGTAGAATTTTTAATTTAAAACTATCATCCGAGCTCGTTTATAAAAATATATATTTCAATTAAAATTTGATCAAAAGTCTTTGGGGTTAATGAGAAATGTTAATTCATTAGGTATTAATGTATTATTCCGGTCCCTGATTTAACATAATCATTTATTCGGTGCAGTGTAATAATATTATGATAATATATATATATTTATGTTGCTGTGGTCCGTCTGCAGTAAAGAGGTTCCGAAAGGGAGTAAATGATGAATACCTACCTATCTCCTATCTGCCTGTCCTGTCTTCGCTACCTACCTGTCTGCGTTTCGTAACCAGCCGTAGCGCACGTCAACTTGAAAAGGTTTTTCCGCACCCATTCATTACAATTATATTTTGTCTGCTACCTGCATACCGTTATAACGGGTATACCCGTCCGCTGACCAATGTTAATATTATTTGTGTGTGTGTGTGTGTGTGTGTGTGTGTGTGTGTGTGTGTGTGTGTGTGTGTGTCTATGTTACCGAAAACATTTTCTGATGGAAAACAATTAAAGAACAAAACCATTCGTTGACGGTAAGACGTAGAAATAGACTTATTACGTGTATATGCCATTATAAACGCAAACGTAATTTAGCGATACGGTGGTGACTTTGCGTCGGGCTGGGATGCGCGAGGGATGATTTGATTTTCTCGAGCATAGTGGATGTATA